TCTAGCCGCGCGACAAAGAATGCTGAAGTCCCAATCCCCACTCACCATTTTTCAAATCTCTACTTTGTCTACGGCCCTCTACCATCCACCCTCTCCAATCATCTTTTGGGTAGGTATGGAGCGAACCAATCAAATCTTGGGCGAGTATAGGGCGAACCTGAACACATCATTTAATTACCTTATTACTCCCTCCCTTCACTCCTCGACCAATCAGAACGCGCCCTTTCTCCAAACTGACCCGTCTAGGCCACGCCCACGGCACCGGAGGGAGACGCGGAGGGGGTTTGTTTTGATGCCTCATGGCTGCCCATATACTACTAAAATAATCGTATTAATAAATATTTTTTAAATATCTTTCACCTTTTTGGATTGTTTTAAACATGGTATTTATGCAACATCACCGAAAGTCTAATTGATGTTAACTTCAGCGCATTCTAGCAGTTCGGTTATTGTGCCAATCGTCGCAGATCAGGCGGACTGCATACCGTATTATTTTATGACTTCTATGCGTGTTGTATCTTGTAAAGTAGAATGAAGAGAAATTTTATTCTTTTTTATTATTATATGTGAACGACAAAAAACGAATCATACAACATGCGCTTCACGCATAACTCAAAATGCATCTGGAACCCTAACTATTCTGTACCTTGTTGAAACAATAACTACATCGCTACGTAGCTTTTCATACCATAAAATATTTGCGCAACGGTATTGTTACTGTCTTAACAAATAAAGAAAATCTTTTTGTTCGAAAACTTCAGTGAAATGTTTAATTTATAGTACTTAAAAAAAATTAGGATACTAAATATGTGTCTTAATTATACATATATACATTTCTGCGTAATTAAATTCGTTCCTTTTTAATGCCATAAAACTAAAAATAAATATAAAAATAGAGGCAATGCAAACACTATTAAAATTTATTCTATGTCGCCTTTTTAAGTAATTTTTAATTCTAACATTTACAAAGATTGTCTATGTAAGATAATTTTTTGGAGTACATTTTACTTTTTTAGACATTTTTCAATTTTATTGAAAATATTATTCGCTGC